TACAACGCTCAGCCCAGACGCTTAGTTGTATAAGAGAGTATAGCATACAAAACTCATTACAAACCACCCTAGTTTGAAGCAAACGCTTATTTATGATATTGGAAGTCTGGTAGCTTCATACATAAAATTGACTTTCATAAATGCAATATCAATTATTATTGCAAAGTAAAGAAACACAGAAAAAATATATCTTGTTTTTATATGCTAATGACAATGTTTATTATAAATTATAAGGGTTTAAATCAAATAAATGACCAATCTAAACAAAAAATACAAGAGAAATTGACATGAAGGATCTAGGAAAGCAAAGAAGATTCTCAAAATATGAATATATAAAATTAAAATTGAGAGTATTTTGACCTTATTACAATCTCAACATATTGAAAAGCTACTATAAAGTTCCAAAATAGGAAGTAAGGGCGTTTAGTACGTCATTTGTATGTAACTTCAAGCTCTTAAAAGAACAAACACTAAAGAATTGAGAAAGATCGAAACTATATAGCAAAAGTCTCTGTGTGTCAATAGTTGGCTCTTTGATATATACGACGATTTGCATAATATAAAGCATAGCGCATGCAATTGAATGTCACAAACTTAAAAGATATCGTTGCATTACCAACAATAGAAGCCAAATATAAATGATTTTTCATTGAAACCAGCATGAAAAAGATCTAACTAGAAAGCTTCCTCGAAGAATAAAACTAATCACAAGAAGACAATAATTGTCTTTCATAATGATCAAAATGTTATTCACAGCAGCTTTCAGCTCATATCTTCTTCCTTTAGTCATGATATTCTTTCAAGACATTTGCAAGAGGATGCTCCATGGTGTATGTTTTTTGCTAACGATATTCTTCTTGTTGATAAGACTAGAGAAGAAGTTGAAGAAAAATGTGAATTATGAAGGTCAACCTTAATTCTAAAGGCTTTTATTTAAATAGATCTAAAATTGAATACATGAAACAGAATTTTAGAACTAATAGATCCAATAAGGGGGATTGTGACTTTGGACGATCAAGACATTAAAAAGAATACACATTTTGGATATCACGGATCTATCGCTCAAAGTGAGGGTGAAATAGATGGGGATATTTTTAATAGAATTAAAATTGGTTAGTCGACGTGGAGGACCGTATCAGGTATGTTGTGTGATAGAAAAGTACCTCTCAAAACTTGATGGAAATTCCATATGATGGGGTTGAGCCTTGCAATGCATTATGACACAAAATATTGGCCATTAAAAGAGAGTATAAAATTAAATTAAGTATTACAAAGATAAGAATGCTTAGGTGGATGAGTAGCTTTCCTCTTACAAACATAGTGGAATAGCTCTAGTGAAAAATAAAATTAGAGATAGTCGCCTTAGATTGTTTGATCACATAAAACATCAGCATTTCAATGACCCAGTTAGGAGAGTAAATGTATTAGATCTAGCCTATGTTAAGAAATATAGAGGTAAACCTCTAAAAACTTGGTTAGAAAGTATTAAAAATGATATTTTTATTATATTTAAATGTAATAGTACACAATAAAGAAAAAGAATTCATGTAGCCAACCCAACATAATGGGATAAAGGTTTTATGTTATTATTGTTATTGTTGATGAACAAAATTTTATTCACTTAATAAAGAATGTCATATTTCACTCTTGAATAAAGTAAATATAAGTTGTGTACCCCTCACTACAAAAGAAACATATTTTACATTAATGCCTTATAAGTTGACAACAATATAATATACAGAACACAGCATTAATATGCTCATAAAAGTGATATCCAATACTAAACTAAAACTATCGAAAGCCTCAGTTAACTTTCACAAATAAAGCTATAGAGGTATCAAACAAAGAAGCATTCGTACACAACCATTGAACAAATACATTAAAAATTGTCTCCAAGTGTGATACTGCTAGAGTTACGAGGTCAAATTTCACATTATAAAATCTTCACCAGATTGTCTGAATCTAACAAATCCATTTGCTTTAGAGAGATAAGAAAATTTTGAAGATCTTTATTAATATAAAGATCTTGAAGATATCATTTATTGAATTTGAGAAATCAAGTAATATCATAGGGAGCCTTGTGATTGTATATCTACAATCACATTCTTTGTAAACATCACAAATAGAATCTTAGAATGAAGGGTTTGGAGTACTATAACTGTGGACAAAATGAATTGTCCCAACTAATTTGATTTATATTTCTTTAATCAAATCTGCATAACCTAACAACTACTACCTCAAAAGACAGACTAATGCTTTACTATCGATTCAACAATATAAACGAAATTTACTTTCATAATGAAACTCAGCATAAGTAATATAATATTCATCTAGATAGATAAAAATAACATCCACCTATCATTTTGAAAATGAAATTAACAATGGATAAACTGTTTTCACCTACTCAAGCGAACCAAAACAAGTTTTTTTTTTTTATTGGGCTTCAGAGTTTAGAAGGAAATAGATACCTCCAAAATAAGGACATGTTTGATCAATATACGAATGATCAAACACAATTTTAAGGGCTTTACCTAGGGTTTTGATTGTATCGAAAATTCCCCTAGAAAAGGGGAAATTCTGAAGGGATTTCAGGTTTGAATTTGAACTGGATTTTTTAACATTGGATTTCAATTGAATTTTGTTTGAATGATTTAAAGATTGATTGATGATTGAAATTTATTGAATGATTGATGAGTTTAGAATTATTGAATGATGATTGAAAGTTTATGTGTTTGATTGAAATTTAAATGATTAAGCCATTGACAATCATTGGATGATTGTTAATGATAGAATGATTGATCAATTGAAATGATTAATTCAAAGTTTATTGATTGAACACTATCTCAAAACATAGTGAAAATCTGAATTTAGGATTGAAATGGAATCCAAGGATTTGAACACCATGATTGAAACTTTTTATTTTAGATTTGGCCTCATACAAAAATGAGGTCAACAATAACCAGAAGAAAAGAGAGAGAGAGAGAGAGAGGTGGATGAGCTGTCAATCAACAGAATAAAAGAAACAAGTTTTTGGAGCACTTATAGAATGGAGGATTTTACTTCTTCAAAAAGAAGGGTTTATTGATTTTGATTCAATCAAATGGAGAAGCTTTTGATCATAGCAAGGAAAGCTCTCACTTGCACTATTATAGCAATGTAAGAAAGAGTAACAACATAAGCAAAGACATTTTCTTCACCATATCAAACCCTAATCTTTGTAGTGGTGGTTACTTCCTCTTTCAATTAGTAAAAAACAATGTGGTAAATTTTTTCATATCTTCAGCTTTATATGAAATTATATATATATATATATAAATGACTTAATGGATTACTAAATTTCTATACGGTCCTAGACATAAATGATTCTCAACGAGCCACAAAAATTTTGTGTAGATGTATTTGTGCATCTGGTATAATTGATTTCTCATATTGATGTGTTTTGCTCATTAATATTAAACTAAGAAAAAATGCCCCTATTCTAGCGAAAGGATTTCAAATTGAGTTCTATGATGCACCGACACTTCTCCTCAAAGAAGTGTGTAGTGTCCGACACGATACTCGTCCGAACACTCCTCCGACCGTGTTGGACACGCCGAAATATGTCCGATTAAAAAATTTTAAATACAAATTGCACGCGTGTCCGACATGTGTATCTTAAATATTTTATGAATTTTTTTAAATATAATTTTGTATTTGGCGTTTTAAACTAAATTTCTTATTTTCTATCCACAACACCAAATCAACGTCCACACTTAATACCCAATCATTGAATATTCTCTTTTTTATTTCTTTTTGGCAATGAAGGTATTTTTATCTCCTCTCTCGGTGACTGATAAACGGCATCGACGCCTGACTCTCGACATTCTAATACTAATCATTTTAAGCACAAATTCTAGTTAAATGACTTATTATTTTCAAATTATTTTTAAAATTAACTTATTTAATTTTATATACTATTTTTAAAATATAAAAACTATAATACCGTGTCCAACCCATGTCCGTGTCCTATATTTTCAATAATTGACGTGTCCCGTGCCCGTGTCGTATTCGTGTCACCGTGTCCGTGTCTGTGCATCATAGATTGAGTTTAAACATTTCTATTCATATGACGAGTGTCAACATGGATAAAATCAAAGCTATAATTAATGGAAAAATATTATTATCCCCCAATTGACACAATGTTGATAATGGTACCGATAATAATGTTCAAAACTCCTACACCTTAACCCATTGCTCCACTGACCCACCATCTCACCTCCTCCATTATTTCCTCCAATATTTAAAACCCTATTGCTTTCCTTTGCCAAACATCCTCACACCTAAATCTAGCTATTCTGGCAAATGGCTTGACCTCCTCCTAAACTGAGGGGCCAGAAGCCTATACAAATAAATGTTCTTGCAAAGAAAAAAAATTAAAATTATCATGCATTTCACTTATTTTACTCGTTGATTGGTCAGTGACACACCTTTAAAGATTATGCTACATACATCACTACATATTTCATCAATCATCATATATGAAAATGCATGATGATTAATAATTCCTTATTAGGAATTTCTATCAATAAGGAATTCCCTATATAATGTATTCCCTTGAGGGGTCTGAGTCTTTAATTTTGTTTATTTAACCCTTGTGTTGCCAGCTTCTGCATCATCTTTATAGGTTAAGATTTGAATCAATTTGTTGCAACACCATTCTTAGACCTGATTTACCCTATTAACTAAACCAGCAACCCCTCTATCTTGTAACATATACCATTAAACAATTTCTTTTTTTTTTCAAACTTTCTATACCGAACAATTGGAGATAAGAAACCCAATCACATAAATTAGATCTTATACGCCTACCTTTCATATTAATTATTTCCCACAACCCTTAAAAAGGAATAAAGATTCTATCCTATGAACTCAACGTAATCAATGCAGGAAAAGTATGCTATCAAATCTAAAAATCAAGCTGTTACTTCCCCTATAAAGATATAAAAATTCTGAAAATTAGCTGACATCAAATATAGATAAATTTTATAAATAAGCACAGTAACAACAATATACAGAATATCATAAGGAAAAAAATCCTTACATTTTTTATCAAATATTAATAACATCCCATCAAAAAATTCTAGGCACTCTTGACGAGATAGGTTGTGATCAATAACATGTAGACAAACACCATCATCCTTGAAAATTGACATCCAATAGAAGCTTTGGCAATTAAGAGCCAAAGGAAGCTTTCCTAGTGCTTTTTGTCCTTAGATGGACCCTTTGGAATTTTGCTAAGAACCTTAGCATCAAAAACTGCATATAGTTTCTTGATTTTTATCATTACCTTTTCACCATAGAAATCTATTTTGTCCTCATATTTCTCATACACATATGGCACCGTATGCAGAAGAACGAATACTGGAATTACAAACACATTAAGGAAAAATTACAAGAAATAGATTCTTAAATACCACAAAAACGGTAGGAAAAAAAAGGAAGTTACCTATGTAAAATATAGTCAGGAAGCTGGTGCAGCTCCCAATAATTGAGAGAACCCAAAATCCTGCAATCACCTAATTAAAAGGATAATCCTAAGTTGGTATTCAACAAAATAAAAAACAAGGAACCAAGCAGAATTAACAAAATGAATTGAAACATACAGCAAGAAACTTCTTTAGATCATGTCCAGATGCAATCTCTCGTAAGATAGCAAGTGAACGATTGATCTCAAATCTAAGAGAACGAGCAATGTTCACAACCAGATCTTCAGAAATGCTTAACTGAGGAATTTGTGGCGGAGACCTGAAACCGAACAAGAATTCTCTGAACTTTACAACATGAATTCTAAACATCAAGATGCCTTTAAAAAACTTCAAACAAAGAATGTATTACTTTTTGATAAAGGTTGTTGCATTAGACCAAAAGAACAAGATGGACAGAGAGAGAATGAGGCAATGACAGACCAAAGTGAGCAGATGGTATTCCATCAGCTCAAACAATACCCAGATTACAGTAGCTCCACCAAGTACTGCAGCTGAGGCTTTCTTGTCCCTCCATAAGAATAAATCAGCCGCTGTGAAATCAGATAAAAATTGATTTATCATCATTAAAGAGAAATTTAATAAGAAAGTAGTTATTACAATAGCTCTGGTTCAAATTGATTGCTTTTACGGGATAGAACATCAAATCTCACATTTTTGGGGAAAATTGATTACTTCGGTGAAAATTTAAAGAAACAAAACGTTTATATAAAGAAACTTTATGACTTTCAAATTGAAATCAAAATGATGAAGTAAAATTTCTTTAATTTATAGACATTTCCTAAATATTCATACCAAGATGCGAACAATGCCGCCATATTTACCTGCAGGGAATTACATCGCATGGAATTTACCCTGCATCAACTCAGATAACCACTTGATCACATAGCCACATATGCATGAGCTTAGATATAATGAAACAGAACTAGTTCCAAACAAACACACCAATCATTTGGCAATCACAACATAAAGCCGATCTTAGAGATCAAGGGATCTCAAGTTAAAATGTTCCAACTTTTCCTCTACAGTAAACTCGCAAAAACGTCTTTCCTAACAAGAAAATAGAAATAAATTCAAAACTCTGGGTTTTTTTTTTCAGTGAAAAAAGACCAACATGACTAAAATTCCGTTCGCAACATTCACTTCAGGAAAAAAAAAAAACCTCAAAATAAATGACACAGCAACTGCCAAAGGTAAGAAATAATTACAAAGTGCACAGAGACAAAATAACAATATCAACAACCCTAAATACCAAAAACAGTCAGATGTGGACTTCACGTAATTAAGATCAAACAAAAATCAAATTCCTCTCATAACAAGAAACAAACCAGTATTTAAGCGCTCGAATCAAGTTTCAACAAGCATAGAGATCTCAGTTCAAAGTAACCCATGCAATACAAACGAAAAATATATACGATCAATTTCAAGCTGATAGCATTTGTATTCAATCTTCCACGTTGTATTTCATAGCATAAAAGGTATGGGGAAGGATCCATACGCTTTCCGCCACCGAGGACTTTGTGGACTGGCCTTTCCCTGCCGAAAAGGCCGTAGATTTTGGCCTTCAAGGACGATTCTGACGCCTTCGGCTTGTTATGTACCGAATCGGAGGAAGAATCGCTGCCATGGACCTTCCCCGCAATCTTCTCTATCAGCGTCTCCTCTGACCTCTCCGCCATCGCCGGAAGTATCTCAGATGGGCTTCACCTCTCCCTCTCTCTCTCTCTCTCTCTCTCTCGAATGTTCTGTTACCTCTATCAAGGAATCTGATCGGTGATTACTCACTTTATACGTGAACAAAGTGTAAACATTATAAAATAGGGATTTTTACATACTTAACACTTCAAAGTAGTGTACATACATATCTAACACCAAAACTTTTGTATTTATTAATATACCACATAAAACTCCTCTTTTCATCTATTCTAACATTTCTTTATTACCCCGTCAAAAATACCTATCAACCTTGCGTCTTGCCTTCGACCTGCCTTCAAGAAGGATGAGGACAGAACAATAGCCAATGGCCGCCATGGCTACGGCCTCTACTCTCGACGAGCTTCTTCGTTCAATACAAGCTCCACGCCGATAGTCACAAGAACGAGTGGAACATGCATTGCCTTGGTTGTATGAACGGCGCTGATCTCTGCTCTCTTTGTCTCTCTTATCACCACGAGCACCACGCCGTCCAAGTCAATTCTCCGTTTCCTCCATATTTTCTCTCCTGTCTTGCTTTTCTGATGGAATAAAAAGAACAATTTTAGGTATTGTGGCTTTGCTCTGTTTTCCGCCTATGGAGGAGGTATTAATTGACTGGTTTCTTTTTCATTTCAGATTAGAAGATATGTTAACATTTATCAGCTCGACGTGCTCAAGAGAAGCCACTCTTCACCTCAGGCGGTTACCATTCATGTGTTATGTTATGAATAACAGGCACACACTCATGGCAGCATGTGCTGCCTAACAACCTGTACCTTGAATTCCTCTATAAGCTTACCATCAGACAGATTCAGACTCTGTAATGTTTAATGAACAAAATACAGAAAATCTCTGTTCTGATTCTTCTTCTATATTCCCTATTTCATTCGTTGCTTTTTTTATATTCAATAAGATCATCATACCACGATTAAGATCATCATGCTCAGATTAGAAGATCAAAAGAAGGCGGTGAAGAGGCATATTCGCTGGAGTGAGGGATAAGACAGGGCCATGTCGGCAATCCATGGGGAGAACTGCAGGTATTTACGAAACGTTCTCGAGAACTTGGTTAGAGAACAACGACAGCAGGCCAACGAGGGAAGAGGCGGTAGGCCGATAATTTAGTTGAGCAATTCCGCAGGTTTTTATGGAACACAGATTGTCATCGCCGGCATCGCAGTCGCCATTCTCCAACATCACCAACGACAAGGGACACAGAGATCTGAAGCAATGGAGTAGGTGGGTCGAAGGGAAGACGCGTGGTTGATAGAGATTTTTGACGGATGCAATAACGGAGTGGTAGAATAGATGAAAAAGGAGGGTTTTAGGTGTTATATTAGTAAATAGAAAAGTTTAGGTCTTAAATATGTATTTATGATAGTTTGAAGTGTTATCATGTAAAAATTCCTATTTTTACATACATACCACTTTATTTGTTACATATTACATATTTAACACCTAATTCTTAAATATTACATTAATACCACCTAAATACTATTCTCATAACAAATGTACCACTCCGTCAAATGCTTTCCTCACGCCATTTTTTTTTCTCCTTCCCGCCTGTGATTTTCGCGGGAGAACAGATATTTCAGCGAAGGTATCCCGGCTTCAGCTCTGCTCTTCCCGCCTCTGCTCTTCACGGAGAACCGATGAGATTTATAAGTGAAATGGCTCGAACTTGAACATACCCGAATCTCTTGCCTCCTCCATAAGCTTGGCGTCGTTCAAACAGAAGAAGGGATTCTCAATGCTGTTCACCCAAGGAGTATCCGCCGTCGTCGTCTCCTCCTCAAATACCTCCCATTCCTCAGTCACCACCATCTCCGACATTTTCCTGCTCCTCCTCACTTCTTCTTCCTTTCCATAATTTCCGTTCTCAACAATTCCGCCACTCACGAGAGCCTCGAGATCGCGAATGTCTTCCTCAGGTATAGACTCCACTGAAGGGATCTCGGCGGCGTTCAGCACGCTGAGGCTACGACAGAGGCTGAAATACGAGGAATTGGAAGTATGCACGAACGAAGGCGGAGAAGCCGTAGGAATCACGAAAGTCGGAGAAGTCGAATGGGAGGCGGCCGATGCTCGGGGCGGCAGAGGAGCAGAGGAGGATGCCGTGAGTGATGAGGAGGGTTTTGAAAGGTGATGCGAAAGTAGAGCAGAAAAGATTGGCGTGCTTCCGTTTTCAGGTACATCTCTGACGAGCCGAGTGAATAAAGGTAGGGAATTTGATGGACGTTAATCTAGAAGCGCACCAGGAAACCATCGGAGATGAGAGTTCCTATCTCCCGCAAGAGAGCTGGAGAAATTCCAAGATGGAACTATCGGAGATCAGGTTCGCTGAAACCTCTGTTCTCCCGCGAAAATCACAGGCGGGAAGGAAAAAAAAAACGGCGTGAGGGAAGCATTTGACAGAGTGGTACATTTGTTATGAGAATAGTATTTAGGTGGTATTAATGTAATATTTAAGAATTAGGTGTTAAATATGTAATATGTAATAAATAAAGTGATATGTATGTAAAAATCCCTTAAATTTATTATATCTTGCATGAAGGCTTAAGATGCTAGGTGGAAGGCTATTTTCAACAGTTGGGAAGAATTATATAGAATGATGAATCTTTTTATTAAAGAAACTGTATCATCAATGCCTAAATTAGTTTATAGAATTCAATCTATTGAGGCACATAGGTTCTAGAGAATGTTTTAGGCATTTGGTCCTTTAATTGTGGGATGGATGTATTATCGCCCCATGCTTAGCCTCGATGGCCCCTTCCTTTTGGGTAATTATAGAGGATATTTATGACTATAATTGGTATGGATGCAAACAATGGTCTCTTCCCACTAGCTCTTATTATTGTTGAGTCAGAATGCAATGAATCAATCTAGTTCCTTAGATCAATACATGAGCTACTCCCTAGAGTTAGTGGAAGGTCTTAGTTATGCATAATATTAGATTAGCATGTTGTTTAGTTTATGAGTGTCATGAAATTTTTCCAAATGCAGCCCATCATCATTGTTTGAGACACCTCCATGAAAATTTTAAGAAAGTGGCTCGCCAAATGGGTGTGGCTAATGTTGACATTCTCTGTTAGAAAATACATGTAAATGAAAATAGTGACGACTCATCAATGTTCACTAGAAAAATATTGGACATCCTAAAAGTGAAAGTTGAGATACATCACTGGTTGGCTAATATAGATGTAAATCAATGGCTTTGACACATGACAACCATTATCGATATGGTGTCATGACTACCAATGCTTCAGAGTTGTTTAGTGGAGTGTTAAAAAGAGCCAGGGGAATACCTATTCAAGAGCTAATCACTTCTATTTATTACATTGTTGTTGGATTATTTATATGTCATTTTGAAGTCATAAGTATGGACGAGTGATAGACCAATGTGATCCTTGAACCTCGCATTCAAACTACAACTAGAAGGATGGAGCATGAAGCTAAAAGTTTGACAAAGCCAATGAGGATTTACTTTTACAAGTTCCAAGTTTTTTATATATCCTCCTTATAATACAAGGTTGAGATCCAAGGTTATATGATCTACAAGTGTAGTTGTGGTCTACATATGATTTATCATATGTCTTGCACGCATGGCATTAGTTGTGTCGCTATATTGCATAGGAGACACCTAGATTATGTGTCAGCATACTAAACCATGTCCAACTACAAGTCTACTTATTTAGTAGAATTTCATAACATTCCACATAGGAACCTTTGGGTTAGCCATGAACCTATATATGGGCTCTTCTCTTTAAACCCACCCTATAAACTACAGAAGACACATTGGTTGGCCACGATTATATCATTATAAGAACACCATGGATGGAACATGGATTGCTTACTACCTTAGTTGAGAGGTGATCCCCGAAACAAATATATTTCATTTTTCCAATAAAGATATGACCATTGCGATCAAGGATGTGGCCATGATATTAGGTATCTTTATTGATGACCCCCCCTTTAGTCGGTTACTCAGTGGTTGGGGTAGGATTATAATGGGCTAATTGGTTTGGTTGTTGTAATGATTTGATAGGTGCTTACCCATTGATTATAATGGGCTAATTGTAATGATCCATTTGATTACTGAGTTAACTCAAAGTCCTAGATGGGATAGGTACACATATAATCATGTATATCCTTGAGATGGCTCAAGTGGGCCTTTTGGAGAGACTCTTATTTATATCTAAATGAGATCGACTTTGGAGGCATGTGAAGCCCTATTAGGTTGTTATTTGTTGCTAGATACTTTAGGCCCTAAAATCCATCTTTAGTACTTGCCATTAGTGGAACAAGGACTTTCAGACTGTTTAACACACTCTCATTTGTTAGTGCCATCCTTACACGTCTTTATAGAGAGCTTGTTGAGGAAATAAGGCCTATAAGGGCCAACTTGTAAGGGTGCATACACTTACTACATATATAGTTTTTGAAGCACATCTATATTGGTTGGCCTACACTTCATGTTCCCTACCCAACACATCTCGATGCCCTTAGTGTGGGATACATGTATTTTTGTTAGTAATAATATGTGTGAACTCTACATATTTTATCTTAATTGTAATCCTTAACATTTAATATATTTTCAGGTGGATTGACGGCCATGTTCACCAATTGGCAGTTGGAACCATCAACAGTTGTAGAGATAAGCTAGATGGTATACTTGATAACCAGGTTAACAAGTATACCAATTTCATGCCCTCAATTCGAACAAATCTAAATTGCACCAACTAAATTATTAATCATTAATTCACTTATGCAGATGATATATCGGTCATGCTCAACAAGAAAACGTTCATGGGTGGCTGACATATGTCTGTTGGGTTAGGATATATGGTTAGCTTGGGTGATATTGATTAGCTGGAAGCGGGTAGATTGACACTTACCTAATAGAGCTTTTTGCCAGTTTGGATATGCTCCGATGTATGATGTATAGCCTATAAACCCCAGCTTTGTTCGTAACAATCTAAACTTCTAAAATAATTGAAAATGAAAAAAATCTGATTTCTTGCGTGAATTGCAACATAGTGGAGATAAAGGGAGAAAGATGATTTTT